TTTTTTTTTTTTTTTTTTTTTTTTTATTATGCTTGTGAATGTAACACTCGGAAGTGCTTACATGATAGTAGAAAAAGAAGTTGTGACGTTTAGGCCAGAAGTAACATCATTAATGCAAAGCGTTTCACAATTTGCCACCACTATAATTATAACAAATGTTAGATTACGCTTGTAGGGATATTAAGGGGGTAAATAAAAAGGATCAAAGAAGAATAAGAAAAAAAAACAGAATAATATGAAGGAAGAAAAAAAAACGAGTAAAAGAGTGAAAGAAAGGCGAGATAGAGAAAAGAAAAAAAGATGGATTAAAGCATTGCACGTGCTCTCTCTTTTTTGTTTTTTAATTAATTCGTATCAACAAACAACAACCATTTTAGAAGGAATGATTCATGTCGTTCTATTAATTGTCGCACGACGCGTACGAAAAAAGTGGCCGAGGTGATCGTTTTTTCTTTTGTAAAATTCATCCCAAACGAAAATATCATTATAGAAAAGTGAGGATCCAAGATCAGTCAAATATATTCTGCTCAATCGTCTTTGAATGTACTCCTTAACATAGAACTCTAAAAGGTGTTCTGAAGTAATAGTATAAAGATTGTGTGCAGACACGAACGGGCAGCGATACACCAACCGAAGACCTACACGAAATTTTTGTTCCAGTATTTGTTTTTGAGTTTCTGGAAGTAGCGGAGAAAACGGAAATAACCATGCAAAATGTGGAAACAGGGGCGTAACTAGGAGGGGCGCGTGGGGCGCAACGCCCCCCTGCTTCCGAAAATTAATGGGAAAAAGGGGGTTTACGCCCCCCTGCTTTTCAAAATTTCGGTTTTTTTGGTGAGGAAAATAGAGTTGCCCCCCCCCCCCCCTGGGTTTGGTAGCGGTCGGTAGTTTTCATGAAACATGGAAGATCTCGAAAGCGCCCCCCCCCCCCCCTAGTGGAGGTCGGTAGGTTCCATGAAACACGCAAGATCTTCAAAGCTACCCCCCCTCCCCTTGATCATCGCCGTAAAAAGATACCCCGCTGCGTTGACCTTTTTGCATCGCCCCTGATCGAAATCGAAAATTAGGATTACGCCCCCCTGCTCTGGTACCTTAGTTACGCCCCTGTGTGGAAAGGCATATTCAAAGAAGCATTGACGAAGTGTTTTAGACGACATACTCCATCCAGCTTTCAACCACCTTAGTTTACCTAAGGATCGCTGGATATTTCCAATGCACTTCTCGACTGTGGGGTTTAAAGAAAGTTTATCAGTCCATGTCAATCCTAAGTATTTAAATTCTTTTACTAATTCAATTTTTTTTTCCTTTCATTGTTATATTTACTACTGGTCTTTTCACTTGTGTATGAAACAACTGCGCCACTGTTTTCGATACATTTATCGGTTGTTTCCATTTTTTTGAATATGTATACACTGGATTACAGATTCGCGTACCTTCTTTCTCTAGATATTGGATCATCGGAGTTAAATTCTTCATAATAGGTGGTCTAATGAGTACACCAAGATCATCTGCAAAAAGATGACCTGAATGGGCTCCTAGACAGTTGATTAAATCCCAGTGGAACGCAATAAACAAGTATGGACTAAGACTACTACCTTGAGGAAGCCCTATGTTTATATGGAATATTTTCGACGTTTTTTCCCCAAAAACTACATAAGCTTTTCTATCTTTTAACCAACTATCGATTGTTTTCAGTAGATCGAGCGGCATACCAAATCTCCACAATTTAATTAAGAGGGCGGCATGCTAGACTCGATCATATGCTTTCTGATAGTCAACATAGATGGCAAGTGTTGGTAAATTAGCCGCCATATTGTTCTTCACTTCCTGATAAATTGATAATATTCGTGTAGGAAGAAGACAATTTGGTCGAAATTCTGATTGTTCTACCGGCACTAAATGATTAGTTTCAGCCCAATGTCTAATTCTTTGAAGCAGAACTTTTTCAAAAGTTTTGAATGTGTGGCTAACAAAGAGATTGGACGGGTTTGGTCACATTTAGCAATACTTGATTTCAGTTTATTTAAAGTTACTATCTTTGCTAGTTTCCACTCATCAGGATATCTACATTCACTCAGCCAGATATTAAAACATTTTGCCAGGCAATCAATATAGCACAGAGGAAGTTTTCTAATCATGAAATTCGATACTAAATCATAATCTACCGACTTTTTCGATTTCAATGTCTTTATTAGTCGACTAATTTCAACGGCACTAGTTTCTTTCACCCGTTCGTTTGTGATCAATAACTCATTCAATAATTCGTTATACTCAGATTCTATCTTAACATCATGTGCATTGGAGTAATCAATCTATCAAGGGTGTTCTAAATTGTTCACTATAATGCTGACTTAATTCATCTGTAATTTCTTGATGTGTTGAAAGCACTTTATTTTTTGCTGCTAGTTTGTAGAAAGGTAGAGATCATGAATTGTAGATGCGAGACATATATGTCCAAAATGCTTTATCGGATTTATCGTGTGTCGCTTGGATATCCGATAAAAAGCTGTGCCATCGATCAGCTTTATATTTTCCAATCGCAGCTTTTGATTCTCTTGTCAAGACACGCAACAATACTCTTGTTTCTTCACACAGAATTCTTTTTTGTCTAACGTGATAGTATTTATTTCTCACTTTCCTTATTTCTTTTAATTTCTCGACAATATTACTTGGTAATGCCGGTCTGTATTTTTCTTTTCAATGTGCTACTCTGTTTTTAACAGCAGCAATAAAGCGAATGTATTCTTTATACCACTCATCGGCACTATTTTTCTTTTGTTCTTCTACCCAGAACGTTTGAAGTAATACTAATACAGCTTCAAACGCCCTCCAATTCGTTTGAGAAAAAATATGGGATGTGGGTGTGGTTGTGAGTCTTAATGCCATCGACACCCACACCCACACCCCACCCGCACCACCACACGCCGACACCGACACCCATACCCACCCACACCACCACACACCCACACCAGCCACCCACACACACCCACACCCCACACCTACATCCACACCCACATACCCACACACCCCACACCCACACACCCACACCCACACTCCATCCACACCCACATCCACCCACACTCTCAAGCAACATTTGAAGTTATTCAAATGGTAATTAAGTAAAAACCTACAGATCGAAAATGAAATTTATTTAAATTATCGCTGCATATATTTTACTTACTTCATAGAGCAGAAAAAAATAGTTTGTCACACATCGTTAATTGTAATAATATGAATTTGTTTCAACAGAAAGGCAATGCAAACTGAGAGCATACTTTTTTAAAAGATGAAATTGGATGTATGTATTCATAATGATGTCAAATGAGTCACAGCCATCTGTGACATCGAAAACAATGCATTCGAACAAGGATATTACCCTACATAGGAATAATCCAATTGTAACCGTGGAAATAACATTAAACGATGTTATTATTTGCAGAGAGTTGTTTTAAATTACTTTTGTTAAAAATACTTTTGCAATCAAATGATGAAATAAACACCCGACGAGTTATTGCGTTCTTTCTTTCTTTTTTTTCTTCTCTCAAATGTTATTTTGTTACCTACGAAGAGTTTTGTTCTTATTGTTGAAGACGACAAAATACTAAGAATAACAAAAAACTTTCATCATGAATGAATAAAAATCAGTCGAAACGAACGTAATATGAGCGATAACTTGAGACGTAACAATATAATAATTCAATAAATTAAATCATAACAGACAAGTTCTTTTTATGAAACACAGCTCAGGAAAACATAAATAAATGCTCCAAAAATTTGTGAAAGCTCTATTCAGCTAATTTTACTATATTTTAAAACTTTCAATTTATTAACGTTATTGATTTAGAAAATTCTAGCCATTTGTTTCAGAAAAAATCTTTTTTGCTGATTAACTTTTTAATAAAACGTTTTCATTTGAAAAAAAAATTATTTCTTTAAAACTTATAATTAATAAATAAAGAATATTAGTGTTTATAATGAATAAATGTATTCATACTATATATTCGTTACGAAAGAAGTTGTCTATAAAAATAAGTCATTGTATTTTTATTTAGGATCATTTTTTTAAATAATCAGATTTAAATAAAAACATGTAATATTGTGATATGAACAATTGTCAAATATCATCTATTCAATTATTTAGAAAACATTTAGATAGAATAATCTTGAATTTTTAAAAAAGAATTCTAACAAAGATGAACAATACATTGATTACATTATTATGTGTTTTACATTATAAATAAAGAGATTCTGTTAAGGGTCAGGAATAGAAGAATGGCAACTTGCTCGTTTTTCGAGAATTAGCATTGTATTCAAGCCTTTTCTCCCACAGCATCATGTTTGTATAATTCTGTTCTACACGTCTCAGGCTACTTGTTTGTCGATGATCTATGCATTCAGCTCGTATACCAAGATGATAGGACTCTTCAAAAAAAAAAGCATCATTCATGAATCATGTTATCTTTGCTCATTATTTCATGTTTATACTTGATTTTAACTGCTAAGTTACTTATAATCAGGATTACGTCCTTCTAGGCTCTATTATGAGCAGCGAGCTAAATAAACTGCACGAAATCAAAGAGATTCTGTTAATGATCGTCCGTATCTAGAACAAACAGAAATAATTTCATTTATTCATTGTCTATTTGGACTATAAACAGTCAAAATTGTGATTATGATTTTGTTTACAAAAAATTAGAATATTATTTTAATGAACTGCAGAAATGAAAGAAATACCAACAGTTAGAACACAAGAAAGTCTTGACTGTCAGTAAGAGTGGCGCGAGTCTGGATGAAAGGAAAGTGAACAATGGCATAGAGCCACAATCTCATTCATATTTTCACTCTTATCGATTCCTTCGTCCTTTTACGGTCGAATAATATTCCAATTGTGCCTCGACGAAATTAAATTTACAATTTTCGACTAGACAAATTCAGAATTTGACTGAATTCTAATTTTTTGCCTACAATATCTATATGAAGATAAATGACGGACGATAAACATGAAATATTCATGTAGTCAATTAAATGATTTACCTGATGAGATTATTTTAAAAAATTTATTCAATGTCGAAGTGCTCTACTCTCTAATAGGTATTAATAATCGATTTAATACAATAGCACATGATTCAATTTTTACAAGTCGTTTAACATTAACGAGAGATTTTTTGAATGATTCCACTTATCCTTTATCTGATTCAATGCTTGATGAATTTTGTTCACAAATTTTACCTGAAATTCATCATAAAAACAAATGGCTTAATCTTGAATCATCATATATGAAATGGATTCTTCTTGCAACTAATTATCCAAATATATCTGAACTTGGTTTTTACAATATTAACATCGACAAAGTTTTATCTCCATTTACTGGTCAGATACTTCAATTCTTTCATTAATAAATCAATGAAAAATATTGATGAAAATTAAAATGATTTAAATTATATAGCTACTGAAGATGAAAGAACTGATTAAAGAATGGAATAAATGATTGAGATAAAACAAAAAAGAAAATCGATGATACAGTATAATCTATTGAAGAATATAAAAGAAGAAAATCAAACATATACATAATAGAAATTGTTAATAAATATCTTAATTTAATTATTCAAAATAAAATATGAAAAATATATTTCTCATTGATTTCTTTAGACGAATATTTTAACTTATATAAATCAAAATCAAATTTCATTACTTATTGTCAAGATTAAATATGAAAAACAAGGTTCAACAATAGACACAAATATCTTTAATATGTTCACCAATTTACAATATTTAAAAATTTTGATTTATTCTCAATTGATAACTCACGAATACCATTGCAAATTTCATCTTCAATTGTTATCTCTTAAAATTGAATGTTTATGTGGAAAAAAAAAACATTTATTAATGAAAATAATTCGAAGAAAAATATTATTAATATTTGATTTCATTTGATTAACAACAATTTTTATAGAAAGTTCGTATCAAATGAAATTCATTCTAGATTCAACTTGTTTTATTTTTTTTAGAAATTTAATTAGTCTTAAATCTTATAATTGATATTTTTTTATCATAAAAAATTCAACAATAGATTTTTCTCAAGAACTTTTTGTTACATTATATTTACTTGAGAATTAACTTTTAGAAAAATAATGAGTGACTATGAAGAAATATTCTCTAAGAATTTCCGATAAATTGTTATAAATTTTTATTGAATTATGAAATTCACAATAATATCCCATGGTTTTCGTGTATATCCTTTAATGTCTTATAGACAGGTCTAGAAAATTTTCGCTCTATATATACTGATAGCCGAAATGATACTCTATAATTCTACAAGATTTCATCATTCTTCAGTTGCTACCATAATATTGGAAACACAACAAAAGTAGTGGTGACTCGACGAAAAATAAAACTTTTTAGGGTATCCAGTAAATCACTAAACAAACAAAACATTGAATATCTCTGTCATATTCTGATCAATCTAATGTCATTATGTTTTGATTGTTTAGTGATTTATTGGATACTCTAAAAATTTTTTTTTTCGTCGAGCTGCCACTACTTTTCCTGTGTTCTTAAATAAAGAATTTTAAGGTCTTATTAAAAATTATCAAGAAACAATTGATAAAGACAAACAAGAAATTTAAAAAAAGAATTTCTTGAAAGAAAATGAACTACATCAAATGAAACTTGCTAGAGATAGTATTCAATCATTAATTGATGAAACATTTCAAGAACGAACAATATATATAGAGAGAGATAAATATCAACAATTTCAATAACATGAACATAAAAGTTAAAATCTATATAGATAATTTCATTCGTTAGAGATGTCAGACAAAAATAAAGATTAGAAACTTTATTCAAAAAAATGTCGAATTTAGTTCTTATTATCGATAAGAGTGAGTACGAATATTGAAATACAAATTCTACATGATACGAATCTTTATTCGAGACTTTTAAATGATAGAAAATAAGATGTTTCACTCTGAAATATGAGCATATCTATGGAAAACTGATTTTAAGAAAATAAATCATCGAAGTCTGATCTTACTGAGACCATAGATATATTATATGTATGGAATCTATTGAACATAAAAGCAAATAATTTAGAAATCATACAGACAAACGAAATTTCTCAAGAATAAGTAAAATTTAGGTAATAGCGTATGTATGTAGTACTTTGCATAGGTTTCTCTAGTAGCGTTGCCGTAATATAGCTAAAATTCTGAAATAGATAATATTTTTTTTTTACTAAGCATCTAGATTTTTAATCCTTCAAATTACATTTAAACACATCTTATGAATACTATCATACATTAATATTTTCAACTTGAACGAATATATACGTATTTATTGAGGATATACTATTTAAATGGACTAAATTTTAGATCAATTTCGAAAAGATTTTAATTCATCTTACATTTTTATCTTTTTATTAGACAATAATATAAATAAAACAAAAGCTAATTGTATTCAATTAACTCAAAAACTTGATATTTAACATTAAGAACATTGAAAAGAAATTGTTACACGAAACAAGTCAACAACAAATAGAATTGAATACTGATTTAAAAGAATTACATAAAAAAAACAATAATAATCTTTAAATTCAAATAAAATAATCAATACAAAAAAAAATATTACAAATCGAATTTGAAAATACAATTACAATATGAACTTGAACATGAAAAATAACACAAACTAATATCATTCAATGTAATATGAATTTGAAAAATAAAAATCAATTATTAAAGAGTATAAACAATTACACAAAATGATTACAATATCTCGAAATAATGATTAGCAGTTAATAAAAGCGAAAACACAAAATAGTACTTTCATAATTTTCAAGATTTTACGCAATATTAAATAGAAAAGATGAAGATAGAATCAAGTATACAGAAAAAAAAGAGACAGCGGGTTACCAAATAACACATAGACAACAATCTATGATCATAATAATTTCCCTAGAAATATTCTATTTCACGAACATAAGCAGTTTTGTAAAAGAAAATCATTCACTGAAAATTTTTCGAGCCGATCAATCCTTGTCATGGATGTAGGTTAAGATAAGAGATACACTCACATCTACACCTAGACAGTTGAAAAATAATACTTTATATTGATATGTCTGTCGCTCTACAACATTCTTATCCTTCATAGTTATGTTAAGTTCGAAGCAAAAATTTATTCCTATTCAACGATATATCAATAGTAATGCTTGTCTGTTAACTGGCAAATTTAATATATCTTATTTTAGAATAAGAAGTAAAACAAACAACTTGAAATGTTCACAGTAGACTATTTTTTAATAAGACTTGTTTCAAATCGAAATTTTACTATTTAGTTTTCAAAACTACTGCCATAATTCGAAGTTTGTTTTTTTTTGTAATCTAAAAAAAAACATGATATGAAAGTCAACATCATTTTCTAATGCGATGGTTTTCTCTGAGTATCTACAGTTACTCAATAGACAGAATTAGCTCTATGAAAATTCATCATCCCTAGATATACATAATTAACAAAAGTATTTTTCTGAATGTTGAATATAAGTAATACCTACTAGAAATATTAATTTCAATATCATAATAGATTTGTTCATTACCATTAGGTAAACAAATTTGATATAAAACGATATGATATTACAGATACTGATTGATGAATAAATTCTTGTGGTAATGAACGAATATTTATCATAGGAATATTTTCTTGTTGATCAACATCAACAAAATAAACACACACTTCATTTTCATTCGAATCAATACCTATATACAAAAAAAAAATAGACTGGGGAGAGGGGAAGGGCGATTGGCGCAATGATAATATGTTGGTTTCTTGAAAATAAGCATCGTGTTCGGGTCTTCCCTTCCATAGAACCATGTTAATATAACTCTGTTCTGTTCTACACGTCGCAAGTTACTCGTTCGTCGATGGTCTATGCATTCCACTTGCATACCAAAATGTTTCGACTCGGCAAGTCATCGCTCATAACTCACGTTATCTATGCCCACAGTTTAATATGCTTTATGTTTTGTGCTTTGCTTTAATTGCTTTTCGTTCTTTATAAGTAACTTGTTTTCGAAATAATTTATCTCTTTAGGTCCTATCGTGGGTAGAGGGTTAAATAAACGTCACATGAAAGTAAAAAAAACATAGACCTATATAATGGTACAATGTCATATAGCATGATAATCTTGTGCAATAACAGGTTGGTAACATATATGTTATGTGCATGATGTACTTGATAGATAGTTTTGTATAGCAGCACGTTGTAATTCAACTTGAAACTACAGAAAAAAAAAATCAACTCAGTTTTTGATTTTGATGGAACTTCGCTTCAAATGTTAAATGATAAGAAATAAATAATATCTTGATTATTTGAACAGATACTGTAAAATAATCTTTTATTCAATATGACTCTTAAAAATTAATTGGAAATATTTATAAACTCTTTCATATATTCACGTTTTTCTTCTTTCTTTGTGTATCGAAAATATTTTTATATTTTTAGAACTTTTTCATATTTATTTTTTAGCTCAGGTAAAAAACCTGATGATCTTATCATACTATTTTAAAATGAAATCATTTTCAAATTGTAGTTACTGAAGAAGTTTTATTTTTCGAATCTTCTACATATGAATGGTAGATCAATACGAACATCCAATTATTGAATTGTATAGGAAGAACAACTTATAATTAATGATATTTTAAACAATAATAGTAAAGGCTACTTAGTTTTTTTTTAAATTTTACTTTATGAACCATAAATTGATCAACTACTATCGAAAACTAAAAAAGTTGATGTTAATTGATGTAAAGTAGACAAAAATTGAGAAAGAGAGAAAGTTACTAAGTTTGTTTGAAAAATTGGGCGCCCTCATATTTCTTTTTTACTAATTTATATTGTCTATCTAATGATGTTTTCTTCTCGTTTTTTTATGTCTTTCATTTCTTGGTGTGATGTACTTCGATGAATTACAACGGATTAAAACAAGCCGAAATTGTAGATATTCAAATGAGTTAACAAATGATCCAAATCTCGGACCACTTCCACCTTCTCCAGGTGAAGAAGGTTCTCAAGTACCTCCAAATTGGCAATGGAAACCTGTGTTAGTCGATGATTTGTCTAGTGATAATGCTGATAGACGAAATCTAGCTGAAAGATTATTTCAAAAGAATACTATATATTCAATTTTATTTGATCAAGAAAGTCAAGCAAGAAATGAATATGAAGCAAAGGAACGAGAACATATTCGACATAAACAAATTCAATACAATGAAAATATGAAAAAACAATGGAAGAAAGATCGAATGGATTCATTACCAAGTAAATGTATAGATTCAAGACGGTGATCATCTTTGTCTAATTATTCTTTTCTCTTATTTAACTGTATATTAGATATAGCTAATGTTAATAAATATTTTCTATCATTCTTGTAACTGTGCAAAGATACACTATTTTTTATTTTAAATATATTTGATTAAAAAATGTAAACATTATCTTATTTCATTGCTCATCGAGACACTTCGAGTCCCAAAACGAACGAGAGATGAAAATCATTAGACAAATTTAACATTGAATAAGAAAATTAGATCAAGTGATTTGGAAAAAAAAACCATCTTTTGTTCTTAAGAGACGTTCCATCAAAAATATCAGAGATAGCGCAAACAACGGGGTCAACTGATTTTGGATTTGACCTCTAGGAATTTAGGACCTTATCTATCATAGATGAATCCAAAATATTACGGTCTAAAGATTTACCTCTGGTTCGCTAGGACTGTCCGACCATAGGCACTCTCAAAAATAGCTAAAAAAAGTGTGAAAAATTGACCTATATTTTTTTTTTAAATTTTTTGGTCTCAAATTTTTCACTATTCAAATTGAGTCATATACCAATCGATAGAGCTTGACTTGCTCTACAAAAATGTATATATGACAATTCTCTTTGGTCTCAATTTAGAATCGAAAATGTCCAAAAACAATGTTTTTTCAGCATATAGAATTCAATCATTTTGTTAGTATTTTGGTCTAATGACTCACAGAGAAATCAATTGTTAAAAAAGGTTTATTTCATTTTGTAGCCCATTCAATTCTGTATCGAATCATATATTAGACATGATTTCAAAATATTCGAAAAATGAGATAGTCAGACTTGAATATAAACTGGAGGCATAATATTTTAGTTATTTTATATACAGTATCATATCAAAGTCCCCTTTTGTTTTCTTCACAGAGTTTGATTTTTCTAGTTGAGTCATATACCAGTCGATAGAGCTCAACTTGCTCTACAACTCTACACATGTAACATTTCTTTTTTATCCTAATAGAAAATCGAAAAACTCGAAATACAATGTTTTTTTTTCAGCCTAGAAAATGTCCTTTTCTCCCCATATCTTGATTACATGGCTGCGTCAGAAAGCGATTGCCAATAATATAATTAGTTCATATTGTAGCCTGCTCATTTCTATATTGAATGATATATAATACATTATTTTGAAATGTTCTAAAACTAAGTTAGTCAAGCTCAAAAGGTTGAGTTTTAACATTCCACTGAATTTATTACAACAACTTCAATATTGCACATCATTACTTATATCTTGAATATTCTATTTTCATTTAGTTTTTATTAAAACTAGACTAGGTCATTTTAGTTTACGTCATCAATGATGATGAGTACAAAATTTAACGTTAATTCACCTGAGGATACGGATGTGGATTTAGAAACGAGCCACAATCACATCCATCTTAAGTTTTTGAATTCTGGTTTTTAATTTTTTTATCTTACTAAATTTTTAACTTTTTAGTTTGAAAAATTTCTTTTTAATTCACAATGAAAAAATTAATAAAATGAAAACCTCATCTATGTCATCTCGTTTAGAAACTGCAACGCAGTTTGACCGCAGTTGAACACATGGACTATTTTGATCCATCTCAAATATGGAAAAAAACACTTGTTTTTCGTCTTTTTTGCTATCCGCCTAATGATAATGTACAATGATTAGAGAAAATTTCGAAAGAGAGACAAAATTTTGACTTCAGTGAAATTCGGATTTTTATTTGATTTTCTTGTTATAGTAACGTGACTCGGTTTAAATTATTGTCAAAAATCTTTTTTTCCTATATTTGTTTAGGGTTCGGTTTCTTTCGACAAATATTTCTCGCAATTCTGCGTTCGAAGTGTGTGACTCTGACTTGAAAAGATCACATAAACACTCGATTCATGATAAACCATACAAAATGAACGAATGTACTAGCTTTCAAGTCATGAAGAAAACTCTGAAAATGATCTATGTTCATAATGAAATGGCCTGGTGCTATTTGTTTTCACATTCTTTTCGATGAAATTATTATTATATTTTGCTTTATTTATTTGAACACAAAAATAGCGTTCGAATTCAATTATTTATTTTAAATATGTAAGCGGAAAAAAAAATACTTTTAATACATTGTGCATAGGAAAGCTTCTCTTGTATGACAACAAAAATAGACTATTGAAAATCATGGTTTGTATTTGCAATATTTTTGTCTATATATTGGTCAAATCATTAGTTTCAATCGTTTGAGATAGCTTTCAAATATCGTTCACCTGACTGTTGAACAATCTTTTGTGCATTTTCATGAATTACTCCACTTTTACTTCCACCACTAAATGCACCATACAGTCTATCATAGTTCACCAGTTGTAACCGTTCCATGATTCGTTTAACTTTTCGTTCGTTGAGCGGAATGTAGTTTGGAAAGCTATGCATGAATGTAACTCGTTTGGAATTCATACAAATATGAGGCTCATCTCCAGTTAATAATACCCCACGGTGTGACGCTCCTTCCGGCCAATATAATACTTGCGAGCCTTCGAAATGTCCACCTGTGTGAATGAGTTTTAACTTTCCACCAAGTAAATCTTTCGTACTACCATCCCAAAAGTGAATACACTTATCAGGTCTCACTACCCATGGTTCAGTATCCTTGTGAAGATAAATGGGAATATTACCAAACAAATGACTCCAATCTACCATTGTAGCAAAAAAATGTGGATGAGAAATGGCTATTGCAGTGAGACCGCCGCATTGATTGATATAGTCAATAGTATTTTGATCGACTAACGAAATGCAATCCCAGAGAATATTGCCATGTGACGTTTGTACTAAAAATGCACGCTGACCAATGGCAAATGATGGCTCAGTGTAAATTGAAAATAATCCGGTTTCCTCGCATTTAATCTTATTTTCATATTTGTTCAACATTTCTTCTCGCGTTGTCCATTGTTGACCATTGCTACCAACATATTGTCGATCATCTTCACATACAAGGCACTCCAAAGGAGTTGATGATGCGAATGGATATTGAAGGCCACAGGTTACACATACGTGACAAGCCATCAAAGAACCTTATTAGTGTATGAATAAAACAAAAAGAAACTGAGTTCAATATATATTATAGCAAAGTTGCATCATATATTTCGAAAGAGTTTTGATCGTGAAATCTATTGATGGCATTAGCTTAATTGAATCTAAGTATAGGACAAGAATAATAAGAATATAATCGATACAATTTTTTGTTGACTCATCTGTTACGTGGAATAAACTTGACGACAAGAACAATAACAGTCAATTGTCTTTCTTGCTTATTTTGATTTCATCAGGGTTTCGTCCTTGAACAGGGCGGAACAAGCTTGAAAGCAAGTAAGAAAAAAAATACCGTTATGACTGTTCTCTATCCTTTACTCGAGCTAGACCCTGTTGGTTCGATCAACCCGTTCATGTTTTCCTTCATTGTTTGATACAGCCTATCTCATATTGTTATCAATCTGCAATAACATTACAGAATAGCTACTCTATTTCAGATCTGTATTAATCAGTTTTTGAACAGTGGAGTTTAACTCTTTCTATGAGACAGAAGCAACAGCGAAATACTACTATCATGTGCTCTTCTATCTCAATATTCTCAAACAACGAAGCTACACACACCATTCTGATGAATATTAACAGCGCGGTACCAGTTTGCTATCGTTACCATTAGAATCAAAACGTAGATTCAGATTCTACTTAGTCTATTCAATTCGCTTTGATCATGCACATTTGTATGTGCCTGTCTAAGAAATTCTGTCTCAGACGTATGATAACGTGCATCAAATAGTTCATACTTTGTTATGGAAGTAACTGATGAAGTTACAAGGATCAGATGAGACAGAGTCGAGAGAAACACAAACGAGAATGATGCGAGCATGGTTTTTTTTCCTTCTCATGAAATTGTTTCTTATAAAGACGCCATATTACAGATAAGATCTGATAAAACTAACGAAATGCATAGCCTAAATCAAAACACGTTTTTCTTTCTTTTTTTCTTTCTCTCTGTCAGAGTAGTATCAAGTAACCAGCCCCATTACCCAGAAAGAAAATAGTTAACTGTTTTATGATATAAACCACACCCTTGCGATATTATGGGTCAAAAGATTCAATTTTATCATTTATATCGTTCTTTAGTGATTAAAAAATCTTATTTCAAGCTAATTAGTAACAAAGATAATCGGCAATAGTCCGCATTCAGAAATTCATTCAAAAAATTTTGATAAACTGTGTTTCAATGCAAATTATTTTCAATATAACCCGAAAGAGTTTCAGAGACAAGTAGAATAGTATTCATCAATAGCACACCTATTTACAACTACTAGCATAACAAAAAAGAATCAAGCAAGTCGAGTTTAACTGATTCTCCAAGTTTTCTATAACCTAAAACAAATACAATCGAAATGACAAATCTACCTGTGACTTTTTTCTATAAAAAAAAAAAGTAATCTTTTCTCAATAATTGGTTTTAATTCATTAAATTATTTTCAATAAACTCTACTTTTTCATTAAGCATACGTAATCAAAACAATAACACAAAGTTATTTATATGCAGTGAGAAATTAAATGAAACATAATGACATACTTTTCAATGATACCAAATGCTTAAAGTACTAATCTATTTCGGAAGAATTCGATGATATCATGGTATTTACCATCTGTGAATAGTTGTGGACGAGAAAGAAAAGCGACAAAAAAAAAACCACAGAACCAGATATTAGTTTCGATTGGGACATAGTACCAAAGGAGGATAAAAATGGGATGTGCTTGAAGAAGAGATCCAAACTCACCACCCACCCGCACACATCTTCTCCGAAAAATGAATCGAAAAGATGATCAGTTGAATGAACTCCATTGGTAAATGGAAAAAAAAATACTGTAAGAAGATCGTCAAAATGACTAAAAATCAGTTATATGTATATATATTTATCTGAAGATTTTGTTCGGCATAGAATTTAGTATAATCCTGTAATACATTAAAATAAAATTGAAAGACTTTTTCTTTTTTATCAAGATACATATGACATTCTGTTTTATATGAATATATAGAATAAAGCTAAGTCATCTGATCTGAGACCATTAGTCTCAAGATCTTGTAGCGGCTAAAATTTCTATTTTTTTTTTGCAGAAATTTATATATTTCATAACAAGAATTGACTGCAACAAAAAAAGAGTCATACGATATTGCATTTTTGTTTATAATTGTCTTAGAGATATGTTAAACATTTTTTTCTACTAGATCATTTCTTAACCATCTTTCCCATGCCCATGGTACACCAAATTGTAAATGATGTGTCATTGATAACATTTGTTGTAGACAACAATATCTTTGATTAACAGTTGTATGAATAGCTGCTGGTCGATGTGAACCTAATTGTATTATTCTAATATATTTAATTAAATTTGTTTTGACTAATCTTTCAATAACATCATATTCACAACCTTCACAATTAAGATGTAATAAATTTAATTCTCCAGTTATGATACCATTACTTGTTGTTGATAATAGATGAAATTCGAATAGTATTTCTGCAATATCTCTTAAAATTAATTTGTATTTTTGATTATTACCAATGTTTTGTTTATTTTCTTGTTTTCCAATTAAAGTCAAAGCTTGTGATTCTTTAATATCTTGCCATGTTACATCGATAAGATCATTTTTATTTGATAAACCAATATGATACATATGATGTTTACCTGTTTTTAATTGTTTTAATATTTCATTAGAATGAATTAATTTATCATAGAATTGTATTACAGGTTCTAAAAACCAAACATTACAATATTCATATTTTCTAAGAAATTCAAGACCATCTGTACCAGCTTCATGAGCTCCACAATATAGTATCTGACATTCATTTTTTGATGATATTAAATTTGTAAAAGGTTTTAAACGATCATCTTGATTCCAATAAACTGATATATTTAATAATGTTTGATTAATAGTTTCTAAATATTTTCTAAGTAGAAGAACAGTTTCAATACCATTTGTAACACTTTTATAAGGTAATAAAACAGTAACATGTTTATAACATTTTTTATATGAATCAATAGAAGTTTTACATGTTAAACTATGAATATGTGTATTTTTTATATCAATATGTTTATTTGTTTCATGAATATTTTCAACACTAATATGATGATAAGTATATTCAAATATTAAAAAACTCATCAATAGTAAAATAATTATTGGACAAATACATATCATAGTTCGAATTTGCATTCTAAATATTAAATTAATATTTATTATTATATACAATTAAATAGAAAATACTGATATTTTATATTTTATATAAAATAATAATTTTCTAAAAATTTAATTTTTACATTATAAATTTTTGAACTAAAATATAATTATTATATTCTTAGAAAATTATTATTCAAATAAGAAGAATAAAATTTGATTTTTGAATTTTTACCTCAATGATTGATTTGCTTTTACCAAGAAGAATTTTTCGATTAAATAATATATGCTTAAAAAAAAAAAAAAAAAGAAATCATTTTATAAGAAAAAAATTATTGCTATAATCTAATGAAAATAAAATAAAACTATAAGATGTACACAATGTGATGATATGACATTCTTCATATTTATTTCGTTCGTTTTATCAACCCTACACTTATTCTGATCATAAACAATCACTCTTTCTATATGCGACTCTTCTCTTCACCGATACACTTGATTGCTTTTTCCTCTTCTCTTTCTCTCACTGTATATAAACATGCGTACGAGCAAAGATTAGTTTAAATATTGTGTGAAGATATCAACAATAAAGTGCACATGTTTATTATACAAGCATCTCTCTGTACTCAAGTTCGTTTACACACAGATGATATAATTTCATCAAAAATATCATAAAATAAAATAGTCTAGTTTTAGAATATACAATACTTAGTTTATAAACGCTTATAGTCGATGAGATATATTTTAGAATTGAAAGAAAACGAATGAGAATTAACTTTGAAATACACATTAAAAAAAGTTTCTTAGATTAATCATTAGAAAAATTATAAACAATTGTATGATAATACAAGATCGTAGAACACTACTCTACTATCTACAATTTCTTGAGACACGGTAATAACAATTATATTTGAGCGCTTATCCCTATATTTGATGAATAAATCTCCAAGTATTTACATTTAAAACTATGTCGTTATATAGTAATAACCTTGCGAACGAAGATATCTGCAAGACATGCATATCTTCTTTATTGCTCATGATCTCATGTTACGAATTGTTGTTCTTAATTTTCTATCAATAGAATTGGTACACAAAGAATGATAACGATAAATCAAAAATATTTCCTGTAAAATCTTACGAGAGAAGGTCACCAACTGTTCAATCGCTTTTGAGTCAGAACTATGTGCATCATGTAGATCCTAATGAGCTATGAATACCCTGAAAAGAGTTCGGGCGGCTAGCCCATTACTGTCGAGATACTGCATTTTTACGATATTGTTAAGCAGAATGCCGTGGTCCCCCTCAGGAGCACCAAAAAAACTGAGTTTTGAATTTTGGCACAGAAACAGACCTCAATGAGAGTGGCTTATTTTGAAAGTTTCAGATATTTTGGTTGCTCCTATTCTGAAATAAGCACATCGGAACCTGTCGAGGGTATACGAGCAGTGTAAAAACACCCTTTTTAGCTGTATCTTAGGATAGGAACAACCAAAAGGCCTGAAACTTTCACAATAAACTACTCTCACTGAGGTCTGTTTCTGTACAAAGTTTCAAGTCAAAACTCAAAACTCAGTTTTTCTGGTTCCTGAGGGGGACTACGGCATTGTGCTTAGTTAAAAATACCATAAAAATGCATTATCTCGACAATAATAAGCTAGCCGCCCGAACTCTTTTCAGGGTATTCATAGCTCATTAGGACCTACATGATGCACATAGTTCCGACTAAAAAGCGATTGAACAGTTGGTGACCTTCCCTTGTTAGTCTTTATGAGAATATAGTGAGAGTATTATAGACCTATCTAGAATTTCCTTAATGTGTGATGATTGTTCCTTGAGAATTTGACAAGTCAAAACCATAACAAACGAAAATGGTGCATCGATGAGTATCGTGCATTCGTCGCAACTAAAAAGTCTCGATTAGTCAAGTAAATAAGTTCATTGTTTGAATCATGTAGGAAAATAAATCAGTCTTTAGATTTATGCTAAAGTAATCCATCATTATTCAAATAGTAGATTTATATTTTGCTATTTTTCTAGTAGAATAAGCAAACATTGTTATTTATCAATATTTCACTCAGAAAATTCTTTTAGATAGTTCTAGAATTTTGTTAAACTATATAAGTCAACCTATTTGAAATATCTAGAGAATTCTTCATGAATAATGACATACGATTACATCGTTTTTTTTTTTGTATAATATTCTGTTTTTCAGATTATAAAGAACAACTATTAAAATGAGTGAAACACTTTAACTTATTTGACCACAGTTGATGGAAAACAAGAATCATTTAATAAACTATTTACAGTTGTCCTAAGCGATGTCATACGAATTCATTTGAACATCTTGTATATTTTTATGGTTATTATTGAAATGAAAAGAAGACGTTTATATAAAGTAAAAAGAGAAAGTAATCAATAGCAAGACTAACATATCCTTTATATTTTCATATGTGTTACAAAATAAAGAAAGATTCTTTTCATGTCTTGTTTTTTTTTTTTTTGAAAGAAAACTCGATGATATATACTAGAGATACGATAATTACAAGTATCAATTGCATTAGTATCTGATAAATAATAAAAATCGTAAGTAAAATTATTGTTGTCGTAGCTTGATTGTAGAGATATATTCAGGAACATGTATTTATGCATAAATCAACAAAGAAAGGACATGACAGTTATACGTAGCAAGGCTATGTGTATGCGAAAATAACATTTACAAAATTAATAAAGAGGAAGAAATACAGATAAACATAATATTTTTTATTACAGTAGATTGAATCAATCAATGTGACAATTTTTGATATATCTATTTACTAACTAATAAATATATTTCTTAACAATTTTCATTCTTCAATTCTTTACAGAAACTGAAAAAAAAAATGAGAGAATCAACTTTATGTTGAGTTCATTTAGTCGACTAGTAACTTCGTTACATCTCGACAACGTTCAATCGTGAGTTTGAATATAAGAAGAAAACAAAAAAAACTTTCTCGTCTTACTTCAATCTATCTTAGTTAAATTAAGTCAAATAGAAAATTTTGTCATATAAAATATAAGCCGAAATCGTCATTAAATCTTTTTAGTCAATTCGAGTACAGTGGTAGAATGATTTATTTTTTGAACGTTCTTAACCTTCGAGATCAGAAAGTAAACTTTAAAAATCAATATGCATAGTGAAAATCTTTGAAAAAATGATCAATCAATTAATATCAACAGTATTCATAATACGCAAACGTTAGGAATATTCACCTTCTGGGTATAGTACGCATCGTCGGCTTGAAAAAATTGAAACTAATAATAATGTGTTGCATATTATGTACACTCACATCTTATTCAATGTCATATGCGAAGGAAAGGAAATCAACTGTGACAAGTTAATATCGCTCGACTCGTATATATATGTGCTAATATACCGTAGACATGTGTAGGTACTAGAACACTATAATATTGACAGATCAATAGGGCAAAAAGTGACAGACCAATAAATTGTTAGGTCTTCAGGCTTATAACTTAAGGGGATATTAGATTCTATATCTATTCAAAAAAAAAAACAAAGAATTGATCTGCAATCAATAGTCGGACTTGAAGCCAAATCAACCAGTTCTTTTTTTTTTACCTGTTCAATTTGTTTGAATTCTTACAACTCATTAATTGCTATCAGATTTTACTCAACTTTGAAGCTAGAAGAATTTGCTTGTTTATATTGATTATCACGGCTTTAATAATTCATAAATATGAGTTCTAAAGTTTCTAACTGACAAAATTCTAAGTGTTAAAATCACTCTCTCTCTCATCACTGAGTATGGGTCTTCAATTATGCTGAATATATTGATTATAGTTATGAAACGTTAGATAGTCATAGAAATTCAAATTTAATCTAAATTAAAGTTTTTCTATCTTGAAATTTCAAGTTTACTTCTAACTGACCTATCAGAAATTCTCAATGGCTTACACTTTTCAGTTCATGTTTTTATTATAATATTAATAGGTAAGATAATAGTACAGATTTTTGTTTTATTCTCAAATTAAAAAGTCTATAGTTGATATTTTCATGTTAGGTCAATATATACCGATAGAACATTTCAAAAGTCAATATACAAGTTGAAGTTGCTGTGAAATAGTAGAAATCTGCCTAAAGAAATATTGAGAACATGTTATTTTGTTTAGTTTTACTTGAATTTTTTCTCTTCTTTCCTTCCTAATCCAAGTTTAGCAACAAGCATTTCCAAGAAACTCGTCCATAGTAATACTTTTACTCAAATCAAATTTTTAAAGTTTATTACTCACTAGCTTAGATAGAATTTCTTGTTTTTGATCAGGTATTCTTATAATGACGCAGAATAATACTTATTGAAAATTTGAGACACGAAATAACTACAAAAATAAGATACAACATGAATTTAGTTCGAATTTGTCACTATTTATTCTATTTCGAAGAGAATATAGTGGAAAATACCTGAAGTTACAAGAAAGATAATCGTATATAAGTCACATAGTGTTGTAATTCGATGCCAGAATTGAAGAAAGCATGTATTTTTCGAACAGAGTGAATATATGGTATGAATGTGAAGTTTTCTCTTCATTTAACGAATTAATTTGAAATGAAGTAACAAAACCCTAGTGGTTTATCAAAAAAGGTGAATCTATTAACGATAAAGTCTCATCTTTTAAACTTTTCAACATTTCATATGCATTCTATTTTACGAATCTTTGTGACAATGTTTAATAATTGAAATAATTAAACTCTAGCCGCTACGTGCGGTATTTTTTTCGACAGTGTGAGCGATGCACATCTGTGAACTATTTGATAATATCTAAAACGAATTATATAATATATTGTTTTTTTTCTCAAGAAAAACGTTGGTAATTGTTGTTATTCATTCTCGTTTTGATATATCTGAATAAGAGCGCAGATAATTCTTCTTCACATCTGTACACTCATATCCAACCGGTCCCGGTAGCCAGTATCATCTGGCACTCTGTCATTTTTTACTACTACTTGCCGTTTTGAGAATTGTATTAGCAGCAAGTATGAAATATATTTGTATTCTTATAGCTCTTTTGACCCTCGACCTCAAAGATTGTTGTTGATAATCATACAAATCAACAAATAGCTGAAAAATTTTCTTTGCAATATAAATAAGAATAAATTGTTATACATCATGATTTAGATTTCTATAGAGTCTTGCGAGTTTATTTTAAACGAGTTTCTTGAGTACAATAATTAAAAAAAAACTAAATCCATTCTTGAATATTCAATCTATTGTTTTTGATGGTAATCATTATTGACGACTTTTGTAAAAACGATGATTTTCAATATCTCCCAACAAAGTGCAATTTGCAACCCATGATGGATTAGGTTCTTTCTTCGGATTATGATAATGATCAGCTCCACGTGTTGGATCTCTACTAGAACCGTTTAAAATTTCTTTAGCCACCTCGTAACATTCTTTGTATGCACTTTGCTCGTTAATGCCAATGCCAATGTCATGTTTGTTATTCCAACATTCGAATTGATTCCGATGTAAACAGACATCTTTGATGTCGCTTCCACCCCAATATTCCTTGTTTGCTTGAGCTCGATTGTTGATTACATGACCAACTGCTTCTTTTCCTTCACGAAGCTCACCTCTTGCTTCTCCCAAAATTGTTTTTGCAAGAACTTCTTCTTTAGTAAGATTAGCACGAGCCATCATCTACAACAGGAAAATGCATCAACAAACATAAAACCATGTAAAAATTCAATTTTAGGTTGTATTTATTAAAATGTTGTTATGCATTGTAAAATCAAATATAATTGAAATTCATTTAAAGTTTTTATTGGATTTTATATCATATGCGCTAAATTTAGTTCTTTATAGAAGAAAGAAGTTATTCTTATTTATTTGGATCAATAAAATTTTTACTTTTGTTACTGTTATTAACAACGAAACAATGTGCCAACTGATAAATTACTTTTTAGTAAATACTTTCTCTTGGTGTCTGGGTATAGGTTTCAGATGAGGACACTGGGAAAATCATCATCCATACTTATGTTATATCCATACATTTTATACGCAACTATGAACTTGTGATGTACAAGAGGCTCTATCTCAATGATAGAGAAAAAAAGAAAACCAGCTAGAATGTATACATTGTAGAAACTATGAAGTTTCGACAGAGGTATGAAAGAAAAGAACAGATTAGACAATTTGATTTGTTCAGACTTTTGTAATGATATTTGCTTTTTCTTGTTTTAAACTAATCTCTAATTACAGCAACAACCAACTAATCGAAAAAAGCGATTATAAGAGATGAATAATCTTTTGACTTTGAGATAAAAAGGAATCACGAAAATAAAACAGAATAAAGAGAAGAAATATGAAACTAGCAACTAAATCAATCTAATTCGAAAACATATAGAAATTGTTGGTCTAGTAATGAACAATACATATTCGATACATAATGAAGAAGTATATTTGATGATAGTTACAAAGTTACATATTAAGAAAAACAAGCCGCTAGGATGATATGCTTGATAGAATAACGAATCTGAATCCATCTGTATCTCTCAGATGTGGAGTATCTCTATGATTGACAGAAGGAAAAAGACAAGATGACGTGATGGAAAATACCACGACGTGTCCTAAGTATCATTTAAGTATGACTTACTGTTGATAAAAATTTGTAAAAAATTATAGTTTATTACTTAACCTGTTAACTACTGTTCTTTATATTCAGAAGAAAAAAATAAATGATAAACGCACTAGAGAATATTGTATTCTGTTCTACATAAAATATGAATTGATACAATCTCGATGAAATCCGAAGCTTATATATATATACGACATAGTTCTAGTTATTGGGTATTTCTTTCCTCTTCTTTTTTCTGTTGGTTTTTTCCAACCGTGTGTCAATATTATTGTTTGAATGACATTTTCGAATTCATCATCTATTTTTTTCTCTATTTGTAAGGTGTAGGTGTAATGTATGCTTCTTTTTTCATATGAATTATCATGAGAAATAAATTTGAACTTTTAGATAAGTACCGATTAAATCTCTTAAATACAATGTTGAAGTAAATATTAACTGTTTTCATAGTATCGAAGAAGTCGTTAAATGTTGTTTATCAGAACTTTCTTTAATTAAGTTAACGACGAATGAATATTCTTAAATATATTCTTGTTTAAAGAGAAAATATTTTCAAGAAAAAAATCCAGTTCTTTAGCATTTAACGATTTTATAAAAATGTTTGTACAAGAAAGTTCTCTATTCGTTTACCATAATGAAAATTTAAAAGAATATTCATATATCAATGTACAATTGGAATGTTAAAAGATATGTCTGTGTATTGAGTTTTACTATAAAAATACAATATTCATTAAATTCTAAGAATACACTTATTTTCTTGTAATCATCTTTGATCAGTTAAGTGACTTTCTACATTTGTTTCGAGATTACGATCTGAAAAGTTTATCCCAATTAGTTTCACTAGAGTTTTGCACTATTCTAATTAGTACTGTGACATTTGTTATTTACGTTTATGTTCTCTCGACTACCAACAAATGTATTGCAAAAAATGGAACGATACGATTTTCATTGAATTAGTAATAACAGATCCATCTTATTTCACATTTTCAATTCTGAAAGAGATTGCTCCAGAAGCTTTTTAAAGTCTATCAATGAATGAAAAGTGATATATTTCCAATATAAAGTTCGACTGGAGAAATCTTGTTTTGAAAAAAACATGACGGAATTTTAGTGAATATTTAAAAAATTGGACTTACGTTCGATCTAACGCAAAAAAATAACAGCAAACCTAAAGTTTGTTGTTCATTCATTGAAATAAGGTTAATAGTTGTTTGATTTAATTGGTAGTGAATAACTTCACAAAACACGTAAAGTAATTAATTACCCGAAGCTATAGATGTTAAATATTGATCTAAACTATGTGCTTGATAATCAATAGATATTGAATATTAATGTGCTGTAGACAATGATCGACTTCGATAGAATTTTAAATATCAGTTTTCATTTAACTGATAGTTCAATAAATCATTGAATTTTCAAATTATTTTCTAGAAAGGTCTTTCACTAATTACATAATTTATTAATACAGTTTATATCGTCAATTATGTTTTAAATAATTAAATTCTTTTGAAAAATCATCTTTTTGATCAAGATATTTTCATAAGTCATTTTTGAACGTTGTTTAATTATTGTTCAAGTATCAAGTGAACAAATACATTTTCGTCATTAGAAAATATGTCATTTAAACAATAAGTTTAATGCAAAAACATTTTTTTAATTTTTATTAAATGATATTCAACATATTTTACTTATTCTGATAAAATAAATAATTAAGAAATGATTCCTAATCGAATCAAGCATATTTACTACTGGCTGTCACACGAAAAATGTTGACTTAACTCTTTGGGTGTGGGTGTGAGGTGTGAGTGTGGGTTTTGATGAAAAGAACACTCAATCACACCCACACCCAGGCTAGAGCAAACAGACTGATTTTTTTACTACTAATAAAGGCATGTCCAAGCTCTGTATCAATACAGACAAGCTTAGAGAGATCCTTTGTTAAGTATCATCAGTGATCTCAACAAAATAGTTTTACTTTTTTCACCGATAGGAGAAAAAACAATATACAAGGTGCTGCAAAAGTCGCTTTACCGAGAAAAATTGAATATCTCCACGATGACTCGAACGAATGAGCTGATCGGTCTACCAATGATAGAGGCATATTCAAACTTTATATATACATAAAGATATGCATAGAGAGATCCTTTGTTAAGTAAACTATTTTTTTCCTATCTGTACAAATGTAAACTTTTTGTTGAGATCACTGGTGATATTTAACAAAGGGTCTTTCTAAACTTGTCTTTATTGATACAAAGCTTGGACATGGCTTTATTAGTAGTAAAAAAATCAATCCGTTTGTTCGAGCCGTAATTGGAGATATTCAATTTTTACTTCGTTTCCTTACTTATGAGCCACTCTATAGATCAGTTCCTATCAAAAGAACTGTTGGAACAGTTCTCAAGGTCGGAACTAATATGGGACTGTCACAGATCTACTTATTACTCAAGGATATATGGTTACATGTGATTGTCCAGTCTCGAGAAAGATTCGGCTTCACAAATGAATCATAATTAACTTACGTTAAATAGTCAGTTGCAGTATAGCTGCTTGAAATGATAAAAGAGAAACACATACGAATTTTCAGCAGTTTTACGATAATCGAGAGGTGTGAGTAGAAGCTTTAGATGAATCAATCATGCTTTTTAGTATAGAAAGAAGAAAATAAGTGATGAGACGCAGCAAGATAACTTGAGATAAGATAATAAAATACATTTTCATACCTACATGAAACGCCAATAAAAAATTTTCAAAAAAAAAGAATATTTTTATGTAGGCAGATCGAGCTTCATTGTTTGATGACTAATCGAAGTTCTTTAAGTTGAATTATACATGGCAGAGATAAACTACAAGCGTTCTCATACGAAAAACTGTTATTTTATCAATAGTTTCTTTCTCTTGCATCTTTTATTATTATATCTTCATTTACATATTCACCTATAAGTTATAAGATAAATCTCATATGCTCGAGTTTTTCTCTTTTACTTACTTGTTGTTTCAGATTTATTCGACATAGACAGAAATGTCTCAATCCCATGGTATTGAGCGAACATAAATAATCATCTCCAATATACAACAAAAAGTTCCTTAGAGTGGATGTTGATGTGAGTTTGGATTAAGAAAATGTGGACAGCCATACCTATATCTGCACATCCACACTCCGCAATTGATCAATTTTATGAAAGCAGAAGAGAAACGCATACAGAACATACGTCTTCAATGGTCGTCCAGTGCATCAAAAAAAAAACAAATAAACGTACTACGTCGTTATAAAGTCGAATTGAAACTTTATTTAATTGCTGCATCTGATCTTCTTACTGAATTGTCTTTTACCATGGCAAAAAAACAACAACAATGATCCGAAACAAAATTTAAAGTTAGTCAACTAATTTTTTTAGGATCATTTTTACTTGTTCTTCATTTGCTCTTTTTTCTAATAAATAAATTTGATTTGATTCGATTCAAATTGATATATTTTTATATATGCAATGAACAACATTCTGAAATTTCTGTTGCTATTTTATTTTTCGAGATTTGCACTATTTCTTATTTCTACATTATTCTTTTTGACCTTTTTTCATTCAACATGTTTAGTTTCGGTCAAAGTTGAGATTACTACGACTCTTTATAACAGAATGAAAAATTTTGAGAAATAGATAACAGGTTTAGACTCTTCCACCACAACTACTTTCAGTCGAATTTTGTAAAAATGAGTTTTTCATAATCACTTTTTCTCTGACGAAAAAAAACATCCAGCTCGAAATTATGGTAAATCTGTTACCGATTGAAATTCTCCAATCCGCATTGCCATTGGTCCAATATTCTAAATCACGCTTATATATGTCGATACGTAACTGCACATGTGCAAGCAAGCATACAATTAATGACACAAGGAAATTCATTTTATTTCATTTAATCTTCTCTTCAATCAAGAAAGTTATATTAAAGTATATTTTACTCGTCCTCAAGTGTCCGTTCAAGTAATTTTTATAATCATTGATTGGCATGCTTCATCTACCTTTTCATAATTGTGTGCGCATTCAAGTGAATCGCTGTATCACTTTGA